GAAAGCAAGATATACAGGTCTAGAGCTCAGAGGAGATAGAAAACATACCCTCAGAAAAGCTGTCCTCTTTATCCTAGAAAAGCAGCTAACTATAATCCCCAAGTATCCTCGAAAAACATTAGACTTTGACCATCTGGATTTAGTTAAAAAGCCATGAGAGAATATGGCAGTAATGTTTTCCATCAGCTAAAACAAAAACTGTTAGGCACCATGGGGAATACAGAGATTTTTAAAATCTTGGTTCAATAGTACAGCAATTATGTCACTAATTATATAATATTTTAAAGTTTTAGCAGGGCTGGCCAATGGTGGGAATGTTTTATACCTGTACTATCCAGTAAAGTAGCCACTTAGCCACACGTGGCTGCTGAGCACCTGAAATGTGACTGAGGGACTGAATTTTTAATCCTATTGTAACTAACTTAAATAGCCACATGTGGCCAGTGGCTATGGTATCAGAGCTGGTTTAGAGCTTCCTCATCTATTCCATCTAATCCCCAGCAGTTACCCTGTGAATTAACTGACAGTGGGTATGGATGATAGAGGGATCAGAGCACTAGGAACTTTCATTCCGTCTGCCTATGATATTATTTGAATTTTAATTTCAAGAATATGTAGTACTTGTGTAATTAAAATATTTTTTATTTTAAAAGTCATTAATATGCCATATAAATTAGGAAATACAGAAGAACAAATAAAAATAATTTGTAAATCTACCTTTAAGAAACAATCTATAATTAATGCTTAGTCAGATATGAAGAGGACTATATTTTTAACCCTTTTGTTAAAAGGACGTATAGCACCAACGGCCCAATAAAAAACTGAGTCTTATTACTTCACTCTTCTATCCCACCTGCATCTCCAAACACCTTGGAAATTCTTCTTTTTTGGTGGTGGTGGGGGAATCCTTTTAAAAAGACAGCCACTGGGCAGCCCAGGTGGCTCAGTGGTTTAGTGTCTCCCTTCTGCCCAGGGCGTGATCCCGGAGACCGGGGATCGAGTCCCACATCAGGCTCCCTGCGTGGAGCCTGCTTCTCCCTCTGCCTGTGTCTCTGCCCCCTTCCCCCGTGTCTCTCATGAATAAATAAATAAAATCTATAAGAAATAAAATAAAGTAAAATACAAAGACAGCCACCATGTCTACAACTTAAGCTCAAAACTGCCAAAAATAGACAATAGTCCATTTGCCTACTTCCCCTTACCACTATCACTATCACCTTTTGCCACCAATGTCACACACTTTAACTGGAACCCAATCTCTACCCTACAATGTCAGAAATCATTTATCACTATAGTGAAAAGAGTACAAGCTCTGGAGTAGAGCAACTTTGGCTGTGAGTCTGTGATTCTCCTTTTACAGCTTGGGTGACTACTACTATACCTGTTTCTTTATTTGGTTTCTATACCTGTTTCTTTATTTGTTAATAGGAAATAAGAATATCTAATATATAGCATCTATAAAGCACAGTGCCTGGCCAGAATAGCACTTAATAAATGACAACTATCATGGACTTCTCTGTACCTATCACTATCCTAGATGCCCTGAAGGGTAGCACTCAAACTCAACAGATAGGGTCATGGCCATCCTGGAGATTACATGCCACTGACTTAACCCCCAGGGACTCTTTCCACCTGGGATTTGAATTCCTGATCCATCCCTTATTAGGTACATGACCTTATACAAATCACTATCTAAAAATCTTAATTTCTTCATTTCTAACATGGTAATATTTTTTTCGCCGCCTACTTGATATAGCTGGAGTAAAACTAAAAGGAAATGTGCTTTGTAAATTATTATACACTAAATAAACAGAAGGTATTAAACAAAGAGTAACATATTCCTCTTCTCTAAGGCAAAGGTTTCCCACCAGTGTGCCAAGAGTGAATTATATATGTGCTGAAATACTGACCCCTCCCTCAGCCTTCAGGGAGCCAGGGAGAGCCAGGCTATACTCTGGCATACAAGTATATAATTTTCTATGTGTGCCATCATGCAGAAAAGTCTGGAAACCTTGCCTAAAATACTATCTCATCCTAGCAGAAACTGGAGTTGGCCAACTGACCCTCTCTCTGGATATTTCGGCCTTATTACCAACTCCTCTGTTCTTATGATCCTGCTTCAAAAACAGTGCATCAGAGCTCCCTAAAGGAAGGGAAGCCTAAACATTACGGAGCTGTTAGTCCAATGCTATCACAGACATACAAAAAAACAAAACAAAACAAAATAACACTTTTAGATAAGAATATAGCAAAGATACTGTCATATTTTCACAAAAGATTTGAGCTATTTCCAGCAACAGCTGCCTATAACCACCCTAAGACAAAGGTTTAAAAATTATGAAGAGGAGAATAAGAGAAGGAAGAAGAAAGTGAAAAGGAATAAAAGAGAAAAAGAAAACATAATACTTTTGTAGACAATAGCTGAGAATCTGCAAGAGCTGTTCAGTGGCTTCCATGGCTGCCTGAAGCTAGTAGACCAAACATAACAAGATTACTTTCAGATTCTTTTGTTTTATAGTCTTTTTTCATACATCCTAGAACTAATGCTGGTGCATATCTGACTTTCAGACTGTCATGGTCCCTAAGTCATCATCTTTCATATTATGTGCAACTGCTCTTTCCAGTCTGTACATATATTGTTAGTTTTTTCATCCATAGCCATATTATCTTAAATTCCCTATTGAGGGGTGCCAGGTGGGGGGTGCAGCCAGTTAAGCATCTGTTTGGTTTCCACTCAGGTCATGATCTCAGGGTCGTGAAATGGAGCCCTGAGTCAGATTCCACACCCAATGTGGAGTCTTCTTAGGATCCTCCTCTCCCTCTCTCCCTCTATCCCTCCCTCTTGTTTTCTTACTCTCTCTCAAAATAAATAAATGAATCTTAAAAAAAAAAATTCCCTGTTGAATTTATTCCTTCCTTCATCCTGAATTCCTTACTCCATCCCAAATTTATCATTCTTGGATGTATTTATACCTCCAGACTCCTACAAAGTAAAGTTTATTACTTAAAACCTTTTTCTCACTTTCCACTTCTCATGTCATAATACACCCACACACTCTACATACACACAGATTTTATATCCATCCCCATGGGAAAACTCTACCAAATAAACACTCCACAGATTTTCGTCAAGTTCATTTCTTTTTGTCATGACTTTTAGATATGACATTCAACAAGGTGTTCATCTACTGAAGATTAATAAGGGGAAAACTGTACGTAATAGTTGATAGGAAGTAAGCCAAGATACCCGCAATTTATGCCAAAAATAAAGGAAATATGGTAGAAGCCGTCTAGAGTAGTTAAGAGCTCAGTCTGGAGTCAAACAACCTACATTCAATCCTGGCTCCACCAGTGTGCCTCTGAGCAGATTACTTTGGCTTCAGTTAATCACTTAGTTTTAGCTTCTTCATCTATAAAAATGGAGATTTTAGCGACCTTTTAAAGTTGCTGCGAGGATTAGACGAGATAATCACATAAAGCACTTAGCATAATGCCTGGCACACGATAAGCAAACAAATGTTAACTGTTGGTATGGCGTCAAATATAACCTATGTGCTGACTTTGTCATTACCTTAGAAAGAAACTAATTCAGGATGATCTACTCTTCATAAAGTTACATTTTCTGCTTCCCCAAGTGAGGATCCTAGACATCAGGAAAATTTTTTGATTTTGTGAGAAGAATCTGGTCACCCTATAAGCTGTATAGGTCTCTTCAAGTTCTAACATTCTATGGAACAAGTGCCAAACCTTTAGAACTTCAGCCCTCAACCCATAAACACTTTGCAACCAAATAGGTAAGTTCAAGTACATACTCTAAACTCACAGTAAGTTGGGAGGGATACTAACTTATCTACATGAAAGAACAATCATTAAAATAGCTAATATAGAGAGGGAAAGGGGATGACAAGCAGTAACATATCAAAAGTTGAAGAACTACACTACTGAAGCATCTTATTTGCCATTCCTAGCAAAGCCAAAATCTCAAGTGATAAAACAGGAAAATGAAAGCAAAGGACAACTAAAATTAAAGTCTTTAAATCTGAACTGTACCTACTAGTTTGGTGATATTTAATATGTATTAAGTAATAATATAAACGCATTAATTTATAAACCCATTGGATCTCCACAGCACTGGCCACAAACAGCTATCCCTAAAAAGAAACCTCAAAACCACAAATCAGGAACTAATAAGCTGGCACTCTCACTTCCTTCTCTAGGTCTAGGATGGAATTTAGAAACACCGACGTTTTGAAGTAGTTAAGAGATTTCAGTGTAAAGCTAGAATCTCTGCATTCTACTCTCCCAATACAAACTATCTACAGTTTGTAAAAATAATAGCAACACAAAAAAAGGTGTCATTAACATGAACAAGCCGCTAAGGAATGGTTTTTAATCTATCTGGAGATTGTATTGTCTCCTTTGAGAATGTGATTTTTTTCTTTAAATGGACATTCTCTCCCAACGCACTCAAAATTCTGCACACAATTTCAGGGGTGGGATGAGAAGACCCCTCCTGACTGTGGACCCCAAGGCATAACCCAGGGTTAAGGCAAACAAATTCATTAATTTGAAAAGGAATACCAGTAACTGAGGCAGAGATGTTCATTCAAAAAAGAAAAACTGGAAATATTTTCTATTTCCTCAGATGATGAAGGTTAGACGTGGTGGTCAGGAGAGGGTGTTGGTCATGTTGAGCAAAGAAAACAAAACAAAACAAAAATAAAGAACCGAGTTAGAGAAATTACGTTCTTTTAATCCAGGAGAAGACAAAGAGAGGAGTTAGAAATGCTAAAGGGGGGGTGGGGTGGCTTAAGGATTAGAAGGAAGTGTAAACTATAAACTTTTTGAGATCAAAGGGTTCAAGAAGGAAATTTAATTTAAAAAAAAAGGAAGCAATAAAGCAAAAAGGGAAAAGCGTCTAGAAACTCCTTAAAAAAAAAGAACAAAACAGTCTTTGCATCTCCATTTCCTAGACACGTAAACAGTAACTTGGCAAGAAGGAACGGAGGAGGAGAGGCTGCGCGACTTCCCTCCCCAGCTCCAGCCGCCCCGCCGGCCCCGGGCAGCCAGGCCCGGGCGCTCCGCAGGGCTCCTCCCTGCGCCGCCGCCCGGGAGCCGCCCGCAGGGACCGTCGCACCCCGCTCCTCCCGCTGCGGCCGAGAGGAAGCAGGGGCTGCAGGGGCTGCAGAGCGCGGGGCGCACAGGTGGGGACTGGGCCCGGACCCCACGGCGGCCCGCCCGAGACCTGCCCTCCAGCGCACGCAACGAGGGGGCAGCGCAGCCCGCGAGGCCAGCCCTCCCCGTGCGCCGGCTGCCGCGGGACGCCGAGCGTCGGGCGTCGGGCCCCAACCGCACAGACCCGGGCCGGGGGTGCCCAGCGCAGGTCCGCCCCCGCCCCCCCGCCCCCCCGCCCCGCTTCCCCGCGGGCCCGCTCCGCCCTCACCTGTCTGCGGGGCACCCGGCAGCCCGCCCGTCGAGGCTTATCCCTGCCGCCGCTCAAGCCAGGCGAGAAGCGAGCGGAAACGCGGCCTGGGCCTTTCCCTTCTGCCCCTCCCCCCACGCACCTCGATCCGCGGGGGCGGGGAGCGACGGCCGCTGTCACAGCCTCTCGCCGACCAACCGCGAGGACGCCCGGACCCGCCGCCTCCCGACCCGGCCCGCAGCCCCCGCGCCGAGAGCAGCGGAGCCGGAAGTGAGGAGGCCGGAAGTAGCGTCGTCCTGGGCCCCGGCCGGCCTCTCTCTCCCTCCGTCCGGCGCGGCCCGGCCACGTCTCGATGGTGCCAGCGCGCCTCCCTCGGGGCCTCCCCCGCCCCCCTCCCGGAGCCGGCCCCGCCCCCCCGCTGCGGCCCTAGCAACCACATCCGGGGCTCCGCGGGCGCTGTTGCCCGGGTAACGGGCTGGCCGCGGCCGGATCGCAGAGGGGCGTGCGCCCGGCTCCTGATGCACCTGCCGGATCCGGGAGCTTGCGGAAGGGCGCGCGGGCCTGGGCTTGAGCGGTCGGAGGTCTCCCGGAGCCCTCAGCATCCCTTCCTTCTCACTCATGCACCCCAGCTTCACGCGTTAGGCGTCCCCCCAGCAGACGGTGAGCCGGTGGCGGGAGGGTGGAGGTGCACGTAGCTCGCCGCCACGCAAATCGCAGGAGAGCCAAGCTGCTTCCTCAGCTGCCCGAGAGCAAGGGGAAAGTTTTTCCAGCCCCGTGGGGGGTGGGGGGTGGCGGGTGGCGGGTGGGAGGTGGGGGGAGGATGGCGGGAATGCGGGGTGCGGGCGCCCGACCCTCGCTTCCCCGGTGCGGGGAGCGCCCCGCTGCGGCCGCGTCTTGCAGCCCACCCTCCTCGGGAGGACCAGACCCCCCGGCGCGGCATCCCTGAGCTCTTGCTGCCTTTGTGGTCGCTCTGCGCCGCTGGATCCCCGATACTTCTCCTTCCTGCTCCTGTTTTCTTATTCTTGATTTGCTCAACCCCATTTCTTCTTAAGTAGATCGCTGCCCCGGGTACGGAAACCGCGGAACAATCAATCCTCCCTCTCTCTGAGCCCTTCTGTAGTTTGCTACGTTGAGCCCCCCACTGCGCTGTGGATCCCCGCCCATCCCCGGCCCTGAGTGAGGGCGCGTGCGGCTGAGCAGGGGGGCTACACAGGCCTGAAGCTCATTTGCACACAGAACCTACAGTGGCTGCGTCCACGTACATCTCTCATCAAGGCCCTGGGCTGTCCTTCCTTCGACGGCCTTGCATGCTCACTTTTGCCGCCGTTTCCCTTGTAGAAGTGCGAAGGGTAACTGTGCATCCCGTGGGATTTACTCTTCTTTAGGTCGTACCTCTCATCTGCTTTTGTCTTACAAGTAATGAGACCTTTTTAATGGCCAAGCGCCCAAAGACAGAAGTCGGCCTTTACAAATTCTAGGGAGTTTCAGCATAATGAATCATGCAACCCTGGACAAATATCTTCCCCCATGTCCATGAACGGTAAACACCCGTGAGGACACAAACGTTTCAAAAGTAAATAACAATATTTATCTGCTGAGCTCTCCAAGACACTTCCTCCGACAAAAAAAAAACAGTCCTGAAGTCTCAAAACATGAATCTGTGTATAGAGGACCCTCATCTTAAGGGGCTCTGTCCTTAACCAAAAGAGCAAAGGTATGTGCCAGTTCACTTAAATTATAACTTCAGGGCTGTAGTCTTCTGTGGACTTTTCTGTTCAAAGCCGTCCTGTTAATCTTCTCATTTATAAGAAAAGGATCCCAATCTAGAATAATTACTGCTCTTCCTGCAGGGGAACAGAATGGAACCTAGTAGCCAAATACAAGTATTCTTGGTTTCTGAAGCGTAGTTGGAAGGAGGTGCATGGCAGTGCTCAGTGGTGCTTAAAAGATCTGTACATAACTGGTTGAGTTGGCTGGCACCTTTACGATTCCTGCCAGGTGTCTCTTGAGTTTGGGGATGCTTAGCGTTATTAGAGTCAGTCTGACTATTAAATTGGTAGACTCAGAGGTGTTTCTTACACTGGAAAGGTGGACACTTGCATTAATTATTTGTCCTTAGCTGGATGGTTTCCTTTGCAGCTGCTGCTGTTTTTTGATAGAGATTCTGATAGATTCAGAACTGCTTGGAACTCGTGCTAATTTCTGTTTGCAGGAGGTGCCGTTTATCATGTTAGGCACTATAGTCTCGTGTGATTCTGGTACTGCACATGCTTAGTCCTCATACCTGTGCAAGGGCTACACACAGGATTCGTCTTCCCATGATTTCTGCTGCTCCAAGGAAACTTAGAATGTAAAGTTCACTTGAGGAAAACACTGGCAGCTACTTCAGCTGGTGATGGAAGACAGTGAAACTCTATGTGATTTATTTTGGAAAAAGGAAGCAGTAGCTGGTATTTTTCTAATTTGGGGGAAATTTTTGATGCTGACAGAAAGACCTTCTTTAAAATCTAACCCTGCTTAGATGGAGACCTACCTACCTTTCTTCCCTCCCTCCCTTCCTTCTTGCCTTCTCTCCTTTTCCCCTCTCTCTCTCTCTTTTTTTCTTTGCCCTAGAGTTTGGGGAGTTCCGCCTGCCCATTCTCTTTAGGAAGAATAGAAGATTACTGCTTTTCTCTAAAAACTTGGCATCTGTGTTTGGAGAGGTAAGAAAAAAGGTAATAGTTGTCTGCCATGTATGGTTACGACATGGGGATTATCTACCAATTTACCTTTTTACTGCTATTAGTTATTATTCAGCTTTTGAAAAATCAGGTGCCATTTGTTCACTTGGCTTGTGGGAACTCTGAAGCCTATATTTCATTTATTGACCAGGAAGGAAAGGGGCCCAAAGGTTAAAGAATATTATTTTATTCTCTTCTTAGTGAATTAAATGTACACGCAACCTTTTTTCTTTGCCTTAGATGTTGAATACTGTATGCTGCTTATAAATATGATTTCCTCAAGAGAAAGAAAAAGGTGCTACATTTACATCCTTTCTAGGGGAATTCTGGTAATGTCACAATAGTTTTATCACTCTCCAACATCAGTTCCCTTTTCATGGAGACATATTTAGTTAATGATTGCACACTGTAATTCTTTGGAAACAAATCCTTTGTTACAGGATACTGATAAGTGGAACATTTAAAGAAGCCCGTGAATAGTAGTTTGAGTAGAACATAAGAGTAGAAATTGTTTTAACTACAAAGAGAAAAAAACTGAAGTTTTTTCCATTCCATTATCTAGAATTAACATTCAGCATTTTGTCAACGTCTTTTTTCTATGCATATATATTTTTCTACATTTATTTAAGGAATTGTTATTTAGAACCTACTGTTTGCTGGGCCCTAAGCACTGTAGGAATAGCCATGAGCCTCTGCCCTCATGTAACTTTCAGTGTATATTGGTTTTGTTGGCATACAGTTTTGTATTTTGCTTTTTTCACTTAATATATTATGGAATTTTCTTCATATCATTAAATATTCTCCTTCAGTGGCTCAGTAGTATTTTAGCATATATATTTCTTAAATTATTTACTTAATCCTTTTTACACATTTAGGTTCTTTCCTGTTTTGCCTGTAATTATAAAACAACAATATAAGGAATATTGTTGTATGGTAAAATTCTAAGATGACTTCCAATGATTCTCACTGTGTAATTCCCTCCAATATGAACATGATAGGACATCATTCTCACATGTTATATTACATGTGCAAGGGATTTTGCAGATGTAGTCAATTGACTTTTAAATTAATCAAAGGGGAGATAACCTGGATGGGCCTAAACTGATTATGGGAGCCTTTTAAGAGCAGGGAGTTTTCTCCTGCTGGTTGCAACAGAGAAGGCAGAGAGATTCAAAGCGTGAGAAAGATTTGGAGGAAGGTTCTCTATTGCTGAAATGGAAAGGGCCACAGTCAAGGACCTGAAGGAGGCCTCAAGGAGCTGGGAGCAGTCTCTGCTGATGGCCAACAAAAAAACTCAGGGACATCAGTCCTACAACCACAGGAAGTTGAATTCTGCAAATAACCTGAATGAACTCGCAAACAGATTCTTCCCCAGAGCCTCCAGATAAGAGTCCCGTTTGACTAACATCTTGATTTCTGCCTTGTGAGATCCTAAGCAAAGGATCCAGTTGAGCTCACCTGGACTTCTGGCCTGCAGAACTGTGAAATAATAAATGGGTATTGTTTTAAGCTATTAAATGCAGCAATAGATAATGGATACATTTGTAAGCTAGGTTATTTTTATATGTATAATTATTCTTTGGGCTAACATCCTAGGTATGGACTTCCTGGGTAAAAGTTGTGCACATTTTTAAGGTTTTTGTATAATATTACTAATTTGCCCTTCATAAGCTTTGTACTAATTTATTTACCTCCTCATAACCTATGTTATCACATTCTGGCAAAAACTAGATACTGTCATTCTGATAGGCAAAAACAAAAAACAAAAAGGTATCTCCTGTTTTGAAAAAAGATTTACATTTCTCTTGTTACCAGGAGAATTGACTATTATTTTCTTGGAGTTCAGTTGGTAAGTCTTTTTTAGTGACTTGCCTATTCTTTAGTTAGCTTGACCACTGATATAGAGAAAATAGCATCTAACACATAGTACAGTATTTTTCTGCTATAATATTTTCAAGGAGTGGAATGATTAATGAGCTTAATCGAGAGAATGGGTACTTTTGAGATATACTACTCCTGCCATTACTCCTTGCAAGAAATATCCCAGACGTTATACTGTGGAGAGTGGAAAATGTTAGCTGCATTGATTAAGTGATATTGGTGCCTTGTTCTTGGGAAAAAGTCTGGCTTGTCTGGATTGACATTAGACATGTGGTTGTTTCAGGAATAAAGATGTATTGTATATTACCATGGAGAATTGTAGATTTCACTACTGTTTTAGAAGGAAATATATACTGTTAACTCTCAGAAAACAACTAATATCTTCCTAAATAAACATATTATTTTCAGTTTGATCAAGATAATCACCAATCTCTGTGTATATTATATTGCTTTATTTGGGAGGGAGTATGGGAGGAAATTCAAGTGACTTTTTCTGTAATCCTTTTTATTTGAGATGATAGGGTTTATTTCTGACAACTGAAAAGATTTTTTTCAAATTAGAATTTTAATAGATTAAGAAAAAAAGTACTAAAATACCCACGTGGTTCTGCTATGTTATTTGCCTGAAAGTAAGGGGCCGAGTGAGGGATCCCAGTGCAGCTCAGTGGGCCCAAAGGTGGGAGACTAAGGAGTGCTCCCCCTCCCAACGCCCCCTGACTTCTATCCCTCTTGCTATTCCCAGCCCCCAGTTCCTGCAGTGGGAAACCCCAGTGGTGCTGCTTCGGTACTGGGGAGTAGAAGGCACCTGAAGGTTGGGTGACTGAGGATACGTGACCTTTAAACATAAAACACTGCAGAGTCGGGCAGTAGGTTGCGAGTGTCCCAGGCAGCTGCCAGGCCTGCTCCTCTATAGCACAGGCGGGTATGGGATGGCTGTTCCTCCAGCAGGGAATGAACAGAAGACAGAGGAAGAGAAAAGTTAGGAGAGCCCCTTTTTCTCTTGGGGCGTACTTTCGTGTGATTTTTGTGTTGGTTCTTGCTACCACAATTTCTGAAGGTTTGTATCTTCCCATAAGGGCAAGATATTTAAAAATGCTTATTTTTTTTTAAATTTTTTATTTTATTTTATTTACGATAGTCATACAGAGAGAGAGAGAGAGGCAGAGACACAGGCAGAGGGAGAAGCAGGCTCCATGCACCGGGAGCCCGACATGGGATTCGATCCCGGGTCTCCAGGATCGCGCCCTGGGCCAAAGGCAGGCGCCAAACCGCTGCGCCACCCAGGGATCCCTAAAAATGCTTATTTTGAAGTAATACTAGATTTATAGGAAATTGCAGAAAAATGTGCAGGGAGGTCCCATATATAAGCAAGGGTTTTTTGCTTGTTTTTTAATTGAATGGTCAAAGCTTACTTACTTAGAAAGGTCAGCCCACCTTAACAGTGGGGTAGAGTTGCTATTCATGTTCGCAGAATTCATAAAGGCCTATTCTTCTGCTCTTCCATGGAGGCTTGATAGTGCTTTTTAGTTTTGGTTAGGTTCAGATAGGCATTGAAAACGCCGCCTTGGTTTGGTTTGGTGCTGGGGACATAGAGTGCATATTATCAGAGGAGGCCACAGCAGTGTGATTCAAAGACACTGTAATATAGTGAAAAGAATGGTAGGCTTTACATTAGGAAGCCTGGATACTGGACTGCATTCAACTGCGTTATAACTATATAAGCTTCGAAATTCAGTTTTATCTTCTTGAGTTGTTTGGAATACAGGAAGTGAAGGTGTTTGGAAACTAAAGCCCTGGGCTATCATAATTATTATTAAGACTTTTTCTCAGTAACACAACAAAAAAGCCTCCTTTACTGGTTGTAATTCCTATGATAAAAATTACTTCTTTTAGACAAATTTTGACAAAAAGTCTTGTCAAAAAATTTTGTGCAAAAAATGCATGTGACATCTTGAAACCTGGGAGGACAGAGAGAAAAATTAGAGGGATATCGTGCCCACACTATTTCACACAGTAGTAACACCTGCTCATCAAATTAGCTTTTTACTTTGGCCTGCAGTAGGCCCCAAGCCTGTAGATTTTGGTAGGATGAGTGCCACGTGGGAAGGTAGGTGCAAGCCCATCTAGGTCTGTGTGACTGTTCTTACAGTAGTGTTTGGTTTAAGAGGATCTCTGCTTTCAGTATATATTTCAGGTGGGATTCTTGCTTCTGTTTGCAAGTAGAATTTTGTAAATCTTTAAATTATAAAGATTGACACAGCTGAAGGGACATTAGAGAGAGGATAATGATGATGAGATCATCACCAAACATTTATTGAGCATTTTGTAAGGTGCTAAATGCTATACTGAGTGCTTTACCCTCATTTGAATCTTCTTGAATGTGCAATAACCCTGTGAGAAGCTGAAGCTTCAAATGGTTAAGTAAACTACCCAGGATCACATAAGTTGTAAACAGCAGAATCACTTGTCAACTCAGGTGTGTCTGGCACCAAAGCCCATATCCTTGCACTATAATAAGCCCTTTACCTTACAGATAAGGAAGTGGAGGTCCTGAGACATTAAGACCCATGGTCACTTTCCTTCTTAGTCTTAGTCTAGGTCTATTACTGCATTATTATATCCTCTTAATAATTTGCTTATTCCTATGCATGTTGTCAATTATTTCTGGCCTCTGTGCATTTGGCTAATGTGTCAAGTTGATAAAAAGTTACTAGGTTTGTAAGCATTTAGATAAAATAAGATTTAGATTTTTAAAATTTGTAATGGAATCACTTAATTTGATTTTTAGTGAAGCCTTTTCTATCAGACTCCGACGAAGGGGACACTGTTTCCCATGTGCTATTAAAAGTTAAACCTTGTGACTACTGTCTGACTGTGTTTTTCTTTTAGAGAAGTCAGAGGGGGCAGTCTGTGACTTCATGTGAGAAATAGCCACCAAAGGTCTATCCAGCATCAATTTTAGTTCTTTAATTTTGGTAAGTGCCCATTTTTAAAACAGATTAAATTTGCCTGAATTATTTCAGAAGTATATATTACAAAGCATTCAAAGCAAGTGAGAATTCAAATGCACAGAGCAGAGCTAGAGGGCTTTTTACAGAGGCCCTTTAGGAGGTAAGCATTTCTCCTAGGATCTTTGGTTATTATATTTTCAGAAACATGTTCTCATTCTTTTCATTATTATTAAAAGCATAACTAATTAGTATAAATATTCTTTTTTTTTAATTTTTATTTATTTATGATAGTCACACACAGAGAGAGAGAGAGAGAGAGGGGCAGAGACACAGGCAGAGGGAGGAGCAGGCTCCATGCACCGGGAGCCCGACGTGGGATTCGATCCCGGGTCTCCAGGATCACGCCCTGGGCCAAAGGCAGGCGCTAAACCGCTGCGCCACCCAGGGATCCCAGTATAAATATTCTTTTTGATATTCAATTGACACATCATTGCTAAAGTAGCTTTCTTTCTTTCTTTTTTTCCTCTTTTCAAGAAGAAGATACACCATCAAGTCCTAGAAGGATTATACCACTTTCTTTTCCGCCCTGAAGAGACTTGGAAATTAACGGGTAACATTTTGCATGAAAATTGCTAAACGCTTTTCCTTCTTATCTTGGCGGCCTTCTGCGGAGAATTAATAGGAGGTTGAATGCGCGCATGGATAAAATGGATCATCTTAAAGGATTGAAGTTCCAAAAATATATCAGCAGGACTGGACAGGTTTGACATAATGAGATTTCTATTTTAGCTTGACTTCTGGAACACTGAATAAACTATAAACTGAGCCACGCACGTCCTGGGAAGGAAGTTTCTCTTCTACGATATTCTAGCTGCGTATAACTGCATATAACATTTTTCTTATTCAGAGCCTTTGAAAAAAGATATTTACTTATCAATTTCCCGAAAAATAGGACTAATAGACACTTACCAACTTTTAATATATGAAGCAGGACAGAAAGCTACAATTTGTATCATTTTGGAAAAGAAATTTAAAGAAACAGCCACCAGAAAGACAAGCAATCTCTACGTAAGTGCTGGTGGAGATGGCAGAGGCTTCTGAGGATGCCTCAGCTCTGCCTGTGACGGTGAAGAAAAAGAAAAGTTTATCCATTGAAGAAAAGATCGACATCATAAACGCAGTAGAAAGTGGCAAGAAAAAGGCAGAAATTGCAGCTGAATATGGAATAAAGAAAAATTCCTTGTCTTCTATTATGAAGAATAAAGACAAAGTTCTAGAAGCCTTTGAATCTCTGAGATTTGATCCGAAGAGAAAAAGACTGAGAACTGCTTTTTACACAGATCTAGAAGAGGCATTAATGAGGTGGTATCGAATTGCTCAGTGTCTAAATGTACCAGTTAATGGTCCAATGTTGCGTCTCAAAGCTAATGATTTTGCCCAGAAACTGGGACATAATGACTTTAAGTGCAGCAATGGTTGGCTGGATCGCTTTAAATCCAGGTATGGCTTAGTATTCAGAGCTCAACCTGTAGAAGCTACAGCTGTGTCAGTAGACCCTTCAGCCGTCTGGCACCAAAATGTACTTCCTTATTATTTAAATGATTATCACCCTAAAAATGTTTTTAATATAAAAGAGACTGGGCTGCTTTATCGAATGTTACCTACAAATACATTTGCATTTAAAGGAGAAACATGCTCCATCGGACAGTTATGCAAAGACAGAATAACTCTGGTGGTTGGGACAAACATGGATGGCTCAGAGAAACTTCCTTTGCTTGTCATTGGAAAAAACAAAACTCCACATTGTTTCAAAGGTATTAAATCATTGCCTGTGTGCTATGAAGCTAACAGAATGGCGTGGATGACCTCAGATGTATTTGAGCGATGGATGCAGAAGCTTGATGAGAAGTTTCAAGCCCAGCAACGAAGAGTGGTGATTTTTGTTGATTCTTTTCCTTCACATCCAGAGGTAAAGAACCTAAAGTCCATTGAGTTAGCGTTCTTTCCATCATGCTTATCTTCCAAATTTATAGCTATGAAACAAGGTGTTATTAAAAGCCTTAAAATCAAATACCGACATTGCCTTATCAAGAAATTCTTAAGCTCTGTTGAAGGCAGCAAAGAATTTACATTTTCCCTATTAGATGCAGTTGATACTTTGCACCTTTGTTGGAGGGCTGTAACCCCAGAGACTATTGTCAAGAGCTATGAAGAGGCAGGATTCAAATCTCAAAAGGAAGAAAGTGACAGGACAAATGCAGAGACAGACACTAGTCTTGATTTGGTTGCCCATGCTCAGGCAGCAGGCGTGGAATTTCCTGAAGGCTTATCTATAGAAGAGTATGCTGCTCTCGATGATGATTTGGAAACTTGTGAAGCTGCACCAAAAGGTGATTCAGAATGGCCCGAAGAAAATAAATCCGAGGAAACCGGATTTTATACTTCTGATGAAGAGGATGATGGTGGATCTCTAGGCACTGAACTCCCTTTACCATCAAAAACGGAGGCAATAACTGCTTTAGAAACTCTTAAAAATTTTCTTAGAAGTCAAGATATGAGTGACGAGCTTCATAACTCTTTAGCAGACCTTGAAATTTTTATTAACTCATCATCTAAGTAATTTTTTGTGGTACAACAAATGAAGAGTAATAGCTTTTCTTAATGTATTTTATTATATAAGGTATATAAAAGGGAAAAAACCTAAACATAAACATAAAAAATTAAAAAAATAAAACATAAAAAATTTAAAAAAAAACCAACCTTTGGTTTAATTGCATATGTCTTTGACCTGAATAGCGAAGTTCCCTAGGTAAATTAAATAATGAGTAAGTAAAAAAAATAATAGTAATAATGAGTAAGTAAATGAAAAATATGAATTTTAATATAGCAAGATTTGGGAGAGTAGAAAATATATTTTGGAGGCCTTGTACTTGAAATATGTGATATAAATGTTAAAAATAAAAAACTCTCCAGCTATTTGATTATACAGGTTGAATTGGTGATTGCTATTTACTTTTTTTTTAAGGCAGATCATGTTCTAGAATATTTTAATTCATCTACCTCGTATCAGAAATGAAATATCTATTCCTTAGATATTTATTTTTATAAAGGCATATATTCTAGCCTTGTAGCAAGTGCTAATTTTAAATTATTTTTCTTGTAACTAGCTTATCTTGCTAAGAAGAAATTATGAAAAAGTACTGAAAATAAAGTCGGACCCAATTTTACACGAAAGTGATTAAAAATATATGTCTCACTACTTTCCAGTTATTTCTGTAGAAAGTCATTTGAAAGAGTATGACCTTATCAGATACTTTTTGTCATCTACAACTGGAAGATGATATGGATTCTTCCTAAATATTTGTATGTATATATGTGTTTAATAGAAAAATAAATTACTTAAACATTTGTGAACTCATAATTTCTATTTTAATAAGACAGCTCTTGAAAAGCTATATGAAGATATATATGCAGTTATGAGAAAAAGTCTCTTATGTGGTTCTTAGATAGTTTTCTAATTTTAAAGTTGAAACTTTTAATCTATCATTATTTTCCTGGTTTTACTGAATTTTCAGGAAAAGCTGAGTGTCTTTTCAGTATATTTTGATATATTTAATCATTTTTTTTTCTTTTAAATTCAATGGATAACATATTGAATTAAATTTGTTTGGAGAAGTTTTGTCTACAGACTATTAAAATATTGTATGAAATTATTTACTCTCTGTCCATAAAATAGTTTTTGAAAGTATAAAAATATAATGTGTCTGACTTTTCTGTTGTCAAATTTTAAATGCCATACTTATTTAACATACATAGGTTAGGGTACCTTTTGAAAAGTATTTTGAAAAAGTGTAAAATGTTATACATATTATTTTCATTTTAGGAATCATTATTAGTCTGCCAACAAAAGACATATTTGGAAGGAAATATTTATAGAAAGTATTTTTATTGTCCATTATTGATTTACTCTGCTTTTGAGAGTTCGTAATAGCAAGCTTATAAAAATATATTCAAATTAAGAAAACTTTTGTAGAGCAAAATATAGATTACTTAAACTTAATTGAAATCATTTTAATTAATGATTTGATTTAAAATTTCAGCGTAATTGGAACTGTGAACCTAAATCATGGACCTTAATCTCTCTTAAGAGCCCTCGCTATAACTAGAACACCTGGCATATATTGAGTTTTGTTCAATAATTATTTTCTCTTTGTTTCTCTACTTTATACCATTTTGATACCAAATTTTTATTTAATCATTCCAGTATTCTATGACATAAGAATTATTACTTCCATTTTTATAGATGAGGAAATTGAAATCTAAAAAAATAATTTGGTTAAAATCTCAGAAACAAAACCAAAATGCAGTAGTTCCCTATCACCTATCCTATGTTCCTCTAACTCTATACCACAATGCTGCTTTTCTATACTCCATGAAAGAAATTGTTGTTTTTTCCCTTGAGTTTAGGGCCCGAAGGATGAAATATTTCAAAGAATTTGCTGAATCTATGTTGATAGCTCTGTTCACAAGATGTCTCCTGAGAACACTGTTACTAATGCAACACTCACACTTTCTGGGTTGGTAAGTCTGTACAACTCTTAACACAGAGGTTCCAGTGCGGTTCTAAGGCAAATACTTGAAACAACGTTAATATGCCCAAAGTGCTGAAAGTACCTACTATTTTCTTCTATGACAGGATTCATTTTTTATTTCTGGGGCATAAAAAATCTAAAGGTGATAAAATTAGGCAAGGCTCCTATAGAGAATAAGAAAAAGATGCCTGCTTATTTAAATTCAGAGATAAACTTTAAGTTGTTAATGTTGTATATACTATTCTGTGTAATTTACAAGCTATATAAATTTAAACAATTTTCAAAACAAAATTTCTTTAAATTCACTTTTCCTAGAACAGACAATCATGGCATACCTCACTCCTGATTTATCATCTCCATACACAGTTAATGCAAAGTTCAGACTAAATGTCACTTGTCTTTTCGGAAAAGAACTTCACTTAATTCACCTGCTTTTCAGTTAGGTGTGTTATTTTCATTCTTGCTTTATAAATTTCTACTGTTGCAGCAATGTTTCCCCTTCAGTCTACTTCACCAAATAACAAATCTTATATTGAATTTGGGACATTGTTTCACTTCACTAGTGAAAGGTTTGGTTCAGGATAAAGTAGGACAATGAGTAAACCAAGGCCTGTGGGTCTTATGTTGCCTGCCTGGCTTCTCATTTGGACCTAAGGTCAAATGTAAAACCTCCCATTTACTGTATACAAAGCAGAAGAATTGAGAGGCAAAGAATAGGGGAGGGAGAGTTGAAGGAGAGCTTCCCAAGTAAACACCTCAGATGTCAGGAGAAGCCCTTTTCATTGGCTCAGTAAGGACTCAGTAGAGACTGGCAGAGAGAGATTTGGCTCTTAAAGGAGGTAGTACCCTGCATCTGCCAACAGGTTCAGAGTCCAATGGTGGACTGGATCTTTGGGGGAACATAGAGCTACCTAGCTAGGTGCAGTGTGGCATAAGGCAGCCAAGAAGCTATACCAATTGCTGAGAATTCCTACTACTAGAGGAGAGAGAGGCCTAGGTTGGGGGACCATAGCTGGCATAGAATAAATTCTCAGAAAAAAAAAATCATTCAGTGGAATAAATTTAATCTAGCCCTAGTTCTATGCTACCTTGCAAAAGATATTTCATTTGTCTAAATATCAGTTTGTACTACCCATAAAATAAGACTGACACTTCATTTGAATTTATCTTGAGGATGAAAGAAAATTTCTCATGCAAAAGCATTTAGCAAGCTCTAAAGTGTTCCTTGCCTATAAAGAATGACTAGAAAAGCACCTCCATGCTACTACTTCCAGATATGCCCAGGTAATAGCCTGGTGATCACTAAACATCAATGACAATTTCCTCATTGGCATTCTTCTATACGATAAAATAGAGAAGTCAACATTTCTAGAAATATGCAATTTATCTGTAGAACTAAAATATTTTCACTTTGAATGAAGGAATAAAAAAGTGACTTAGAAACCTTCAGTTTTCCTTGTGCAGAGCTTCTGTAAAATATTGCAGATAGTCATCTGCTCACCATATGCTCACATGACCTGTCTGTGCCATCGCAGGGAGTTGGCGGCAGAGGAGGAGGAGATTTCTTCCATCTCTTCTTATAAAAGCACTGATCCCATCATGGGGAGCCCATCTTCATGATCTCATCTAACCCTAATAACCTCCCCCCACCCCATCTCCAAGCATCATCACAGTTAGGGCTTCCACGTATGAATTTGGAGGGTGACAAACATTCAACCCATAATAACCACTTAGTGCTAACAAAGATATTCACATATGGGGCACGTGGGTGGCTCAGTCAGTTAAGTGTCTGACTCTTGGTTTTGTCTCAGGTCATGATCTCAGTGTCATGAGATCAAGCCCCACATCCAGCATCATGTGCAGTGTGGAGTCCGCCTGAGATTCTCTCTCCCTCTGCCTTTCTCCTTGTTCATTCTCTCTCTCTGTCTCTCTCAAAAAAATTCACATATTATCAATTTGTGATGTGCTGTATCAATCGGTCTTCAACTTGCTATAAACTAAAAGAGTACATGTATTTCAGAACTTGTTAATCAGCTATAGCTATTAGCAAGGTCCTTAAAGTTTATAAAACCTTAAGAAGACATGACGACATTTTTCATGGCCTTGAATAAATGGAAAAACTCAATATTGAAATGTACATTCATTTCTTCCAAGTTAATCCCAGTCAAAATCCCACTGCAGATTTGTCAAAAATTTTGTAAAATAATTCAGATTTTTGGGCAGCCCTGGTGACCCAGTGGTTTAGTGCCTCCTTCAGCCCAGGGCCTGATCCTGGAGACCCGGGATTGAGTCCCATGTCAGGTTCCCTGCATGGAGACTGCTTCTCCCTCTGCCTGTGGCTCTGTGTCTCTTTCTCTTTCTTTCTCTCTCTGTCTCTGTGTCTATCATGAATAAATAAAATCTTTAAAAAACAAACAAAAAAAAATAATTCGGATTTTTGTCTGTAAGAATAAATATGTACCAGTATATCAGAAAATTTTGAAAAAACTTAGGGAATATTTTATCTATACCAGAATTTTAAACAATATGGTGTGGGCAAGAGAATTAATAGGTCAATCAAAAGAATAATACATAATATCTAGAAAAAGAATTTGCATATGATAGGAATGTCTTTTTATTTTTTTAAAGACTTATTTATTTATTTATTTATTTATTTATTTATTTATTTATTTATTTATGATAGACATAGAGAGAGAGAGGCAGAGACACAGGAGGAAGGAGAAATTGGCTCCATGCTGGGAGCCCAGCACGGGACTCGATCCCGGGACTCCAGGATCACGCCCTGGGCCAAAGGCAGGCGCTAAACCGCTGAGCCACCCAGGGATCCCCAGGAATGTCTTTTAATCAGTAATGAAATAGATGGATTATTTAATAACTGATATTAGGGCAAATGGCTAACAATATAGGATTAAAAATGTCATACATCAAAATGAATCCTAAAAGAATTAAATTCTAAAAGAAATGAAAGAAGGAAAGAAAGAAAAAAATGAAGAAAGGAAAGAAGGGAGGAAAGGAAAATATTAAATAATTTTTTTTAAGATTTATTTATTTATTCAGAGAGAGACAGAGGTAGAGACACAGGCAGAGGGAGAAGCAGGCTCCACGCAGGAAGCCTGACAAGGGACTCATTCCCGGGTCCCCAGGTTCACACCCCAGGCTGCAGACAGTGCTAAACTGCTGTGCCACCAGGGCTGCCCAAATTAAAAATCTTTTAAAAGGTATGACACTCAAGAATAGTTAAGTATAAAAATACTAATAAAGTATGGAAATAGGAATGCCCGGGTGGCTCAGCGGTTGAGTGCCTCCCTTTTGGCCCAGGGCGTGATCCTGGAGTCTCAAGATCGAGTCCCACATCAGCAGCCTGCTTCTCTCTCTGCCTGTGTCTCTGCGCCTCTCTCTCTGTGTCTCTCATGAATGAATAAATAAAATCTTAAAAAAAAAGTAGGGAAATATGTCAACATTACTAGGAATCAAAGAAATGCAAGCAAAAAAATGGGACATCTTTTGGGGGGGGCTATCACAAGACAAGATTATAAAGAATGATAATACTAAATGTAGGCAAGAGCTTAGAGAAATGGCTGCACTGGTGTGGGAAACATAAATTGGTACATTTAGTTATTATAGTTGGTGTGTATTAAATACTTAATAATTTCCAGACTTCAAAGTACTTAGCCTGTGTTGGTTAAACTCAGAATAACTCTAGCTATATCATCCCCATTTCAATGCTAAGAAAATTTAAGTATAGCTATAGCTAATAAATAACAAAACTAGGATTCAAACCCAAAAAATTTGACTTAAAAATATGTTGTACATGATATAAATTTATCCTAACACAATAAAAATACTAAGGATGTTTGTTGCAGTGTATACAGCCCCATTGTCCTTTATCCAAAACCCAGGGAACATATATGTTTCAGAATTAAGAATTTATCAGGTTT